CAGCAGAGAAGGTGGCAGAGAAGTCAATTTGCTGAAAAGCGAAACGCCTAATGATGTGTACTCTTCAGTAGCAGTGAGGTAACATTTTACCATAACGTGGTGTCTAATACTTACAGTAGTCTTTGGGTAGACTATCCTAAGGTTTGTTGTTTTAGAGTCGAACAGAAGAGGCTTGAAGACGAGAAAGGTGGTCCGAACAAGGAAATTGCGCTGCGACTCAGAAAGTTCATGCCGCAACCTGTCCCGCGAAAGGTGAAACCAGTCTTGTTACCAGTTTTCAGCTAGTTCGGCTTGGTGTGGGCACAGAATGGAACTGAGCAAACTTGTACAGGTCGCCTTGTGAAATCCTGCAACCAAAACGGCTCACTCGTACCGTTAAGCAGCTTCACAGGAACTCACAGGTAACTCTACACAGAATGAGCCTTGTTCAACATGAACTGACGAAAGGAACAAGAGGAAATGCAAAGTGCCCCCTCCCCCCCCCCTTCAAGCCGAACAACGCTCAATGTTCTTTATTGTAATGCTCAGCGTTGGGTCCTTCAGGTAATTAAACAAACGGTAATGACGACCGTCTATGGGGTTACGCTATATGGTGCTGCCTTGCAAATAAAACGACAGTTGAAGGCACTTGATATAGACAACGAGGAGGTGAACTAATTTCTGTGCTCGATATTTCATTTTTTCCATATTTTGTAAGTTCCCTTATTTGATCGTTTTTAGACCGCGAAATTTGCACAGTATTTGACGCATAAAACGTTTGCCAGTCTGCATGATGCATTCACTTGTTCAATGTAAGTTTTTGAATTTTTGTATTTTTTTTTGTTCTGCTCAGCAACATCCCTATAGTCATAATCCTTGCAAACGATGGGGCTTGGTAAGGGAAGAGGTGGATTGCATCATAGTCGAGGTGGCTTTTTCCACCGATGATGCTATTGTTGGAGGAAAAGGCTGTCTCTGGCTGCGCTCCATCTCACGCGCCTTCCCAAGCCCTAACATTTACCGGTATTCTGCCTGTACTTCTTTCTAAGGTCCCTATGGTGTCATTTGTGACGTTTTTTTTTCAGGAAGCTGAAGGACTGGTTCAGAGACTGTGCAAAAGGCGTGTCTGACCTGTTACGCACTATGGAATGGGTCACCCCTCTTGGACTACCGGTTGTACAGCCGTATGTGATTGCCAAGGAGAAGAAGGGGAAAGTCATACACGTTCCTGTATCGACTAAACAGGTGCCTCAATATGGTTCTCTTACCAGCACGCCTTTATTGTAGTTTGCCTCTGTGGAATATCAGAACTAGTTCAGTAGGGACTGGAACTAGAAGCGCTTTAGGATTAATGGTCCACGAGTCATGGGGGACAAGGTGTGGAGCGTTATATTCCAGTTAAGGCAACGCAGTACGAGTTGATTTGAACGATAAAGTCGACGTGCAGCGTCATGTTGAGTCGGTGGGGTCCTGCTGAGATTGCTCCACGTTCTCGCTGCAGAGCCTGGGGCTCAGAGGAGCTGGGTAGGCTCGGCGCCTGCCCGTTCTCCACCAGTTGAAGCGACAAGCGACAAAACAATTGTTGAAAACTCCCTGCACGCACCGCGCGCCAACCGATTCCACACCGGTCGAGCGCCTGCAGCGGAGACCACTATACGTTACGCTTGCAAAGCCTATTGCACCCCACTCGCCGTGACTAGGAAGTAGCGCTGCACATCCAGGTGTCCTTGTAAGCGAGGGGCTTGTTGAGAGACCAATTCACCTCCACGATCACATCTGAGGTCGGACTACTCCAGGGTTAGTGGCCTTTGATCTTGCGTCTCAGAGTCCAAGTCAAACTCGTACCTCATTCATTTTTTTGTGGGGAATGGAAAGCCACTGACTCTTGCTTCGAAGTAGGTGCTCCGAAACTGGTCCAAAGCTCGTTCCATTGGCCAACACTCACTCAATTTTATGGGTACAGAATGTGCGGCGTACCCCAAAAACACCCCAACGCCAGAAGCTTAATCAGGTGCTGTTGGGCTGTGGAGGGGCATTGCGCACTATCACCGGTTTCCTTGGCTAGTTCCTGTGGAACTATATGTCACACCTTGACCTGTCAACTTTTGTCAACTGTGAATGAAGCTCGTGCTACTGCGTGGCTTTACAAGAGTTCACAGGTCTCCCCAGTCTCCACACGAGGCTCGGCAGTGCTTTATGGAAACCAGCAGAATACCCCCACCAAGTCGAACTGCACTATTTTATACTTGCCTCAATACTTCTACATTCATTAAAGTCAGAGGCGGAGTTCTGTTACCGTTGCAATGTGACAGAAATTTGAGTGATTGTGTCGTTTAGGTAGGCGCCTTTCCGCCCAATCTGGTACATTCGCTGGACTCCTGCCATATGATGCTCACATCTCTCGATTGTTCGCGGAGGTACTTTTTGAATTGAAATTCTTCTTTTTTGAAGAAAATACAGTGTTATTTGAAGAGGTGTGACTTTTGCGGCAGTGCACGATTGTTTTTGGACACATGCCAGCACAGTGGACGAAATGGGCGAATTGTGTCGTGACCAGTTTATCAGATTGCACAGCGAGCCAATTGTTCAACAGTAAGTGCTTTTGAGATTTTCAAAGTGATCCAGCTGGTACTTGCGCCCCGGCATGGGCAAGTCCGCAATTTTTCGTCGGGGTTACGGTAGTCTGCAGTTTTCAGCAGGGGCTAGGATAGGTGTGTCACTTTGCCACTGTGACGTCTGTTTCGCGTATTTCACTTTTTCCTACTTGATATGAGGATCGCCTGTCTCAGTTCCCCCCCCCACCGCTTAGAAGTGCAGTTTACTGTAACCTTGACAAAAAAATTGCAGAATGCCCCTCAGTGTCGCGTTCCTAAATTTTTTAA